ATCTCTTAGTACTGCCTTCCACCCCCAAACCGATGGATAATCAGAGAGGACAATTCGTACGCTGGAGGATATGCTCCGAGCTTGTGTCCTTGACTCCGGGGGCCATTGGGACGACCACCTACCCCTGATAGAGTTTGCTTACAACAACAGTTACCAAGCAAGCATCGGCATGGCCCCATACGAGGCGCTATACGGGCGTCCGTGCAAGTCACCGATCTGTTGGGAGGAAGTGGGCGATAGAAGATTGTTTGGCCCGGATTTGGTAGAAGAAACCACGTCCAAGATAGTTAAGATCAAGAAGAACATCCAGACAGCTCATAGTAGGCAGAAGAGTTATGCTGATACCCGGAGGAGAGACCTGGCCTTTGAGAAAGGCGACCGGGTGTTTCTTAAAGTCACCCCCTTCAAGGGAATTAGTAGGTTCGGCAGGAGGGGAAAATTAAACCCCAGATATATTGGATCCTTTGAAATCTTAGACAAGATTGGTACCACTGCCTACAGACTTGCACTGCCTCCTGAGCTCTCTCGGGTTCATAATGTGTTTCACGTATCTATGCTACGTAAGTACAATCCGGACCCTTCTCATGTCTTGGCTCATGAACCGCTTCCACTCCGAGAGGACTTGTCTTATGAAGAAGTACCGGTCGGTATCACGGACCGAGAGAGCAGAATACTCCGCAACCGGAAAATATCATTTGTAAAAGTCGTGTGGCAGAACCACACGCCCAGGGAGGCTACTTGGGAACTGGAATCAGAATTTAGGGCCCAATATCCCCATCTGTTCGATCAAGAGTAACGAAGCAAATTTGGGGACCAAATTTCTTTAAGGGGGGGGAGAGTTGTAGCGCCCGGGAAATTGAAGAAGAAAAAAAAAAGGGGTCACGTCAGCAGCACCGTCAGCAGTCCCGGATCGACGTGGACCTGCCACGTGGCAAGACCATGTCGATCCGGGACGGGCCACGTTGGCGATCCGCGTATGTGCGATCGGACGACCCAGATCAAGCGTGCGATCGGACGACCCAGATCAAGCGTGCGATCGGACGGCCAAGATGCAATCGCACGGACGGCCCAGATTCAATCAAAAACGGACGGCCCAGATTAAATCAAAATGGACGACTGAGATCAAAAGGCAAAATGGTATAAAAAAGACCCCACACCAGACCACAAAACCCTAGCCGCCTGCCCTCGCCGAAGAAGACGAACCAGAAGCCGGCCGCCGCCACCCGCTGCCGCACCGGAGGGATTTCCGACCGCCGATCGAGGTAAATTTCATACCCCCGACTCGTTTTTCCACGCTGATTTTCCCTGTGGCCAAATCGGAGCCAAAATCCCGGCCAAACTGCCAGAAAACACGGCCGAAACCCAGCGGCGCCGCCGCGCCCCTCCTCGATTTTTGCCTCTGATGAGGCCGTTCCCGGCCTCCGTTTAATGCAATTTTTATATCATCGTGATCACCATTCTTTTCTCTATAGGTTGATCGGAGCCGAATCACTAAAACACGAACTTCACCGGAGAGCCGCCGCACTCGAGAGCACCGCCGCCGGTAAGCTTCGGTTTTTCGTAATTTTTTGGCCCCCCGAGGGCCCTAGAGTTGTTTAATCGCAAGGATCGATGCAAGTGTGGCCGAATTCGGCTGAAAACGGCCAAACCGAGGCGAATCACTGCCGCTTGCGGCGGCGCCGTCGCCGAAGTACGGCGGAGCCGCCGTGCCGGAATTGCGATATTGGCCGAAAGGGGCCCTGGGCCTAAGTTGGGATTTTTTGGAACACGTGCAGGTACCAGTAGTGCGTTTCAGTTCCCCGGAAAAAATTCAGAAAAAATTAGGGACAGCCTGTAAGCGCACTGTGAAGCCGTGTTCGGACCCCGAAATGAGTAAGGATCCCTCACCCTATTTCCTATCACGGTATTAAAGTTCAATAAATGATAAAATGGTATTTCATGAATCAACGAATGTGTGAAATTGCTTAAGGTCGCTAATGGAGCCCGAGTCTAGTGTGTTTGTTGGTTAACTGTTATGTGGCCTGTTTTACAGTTTTAAATGCAGCATGAGATTTGATGTTTTCATTTTATAGTTTCGTGTGCATATTTTACCGTTTTATTGATTATGGATTGAATGATTGGAATATTGATGCTGTATGTTGTCTGTTTGGCATAAATTACCGTTTTGCTTGTTTGTTTGTGGATTGATGATGCTGACTGAGGAAAAAGAAAATGAAAGATTATGTAAATGGGTAATTATATAATGTGGTCAGCTTGACTAGATATCCTGGGAGATGGTGGACGGACTGGGTCCGTAGGGAACCCTACCAGGATTGTGGTCTCCCATACTGGACGGGGTATGGAGATCTTATGTGTTTTGGCGCCCATACCGGACGGGGTATGGGGACGGTCCGTTTCATCTCATACCGGACGGGGTAATGAGGTTTATAGTTTTGGCGCCCATACCGAACGGGGTATGGGGACGGCCCTGGAATATGATTTCAAGTGTTAAGGGTTAACGGGTAGCGGGACTCTTATGGATCCCCATGGATACTAGTGGGCTGGTAAAAGAGGAAAAATATGTTGTGTAACGATTGAATTACGAAAGGCTTGATAAGTATTATGTTATACAGTTTATATATGATTTCATGATGATGATGATGTTATTGCTTTCGTATATTGTTTTTTATGAACTTCACCGAGATAAGTGAATGGTAAAGGTTTTATTATTAATAAAAAGATTTGTTGTAAATTATGCTCCATTGGTCTTTTTATGTTTTCTACCCACCTTTACCTCCGTGACGGTGAGATATCGTGATGTCTTTATTGGGCTAGTGTAGCTCATTCCTTATTTAGTCATTTCAGATCAGGAAGACATTGTTCCCGAGCCGGTTCCGCAGGAGGACGACGAAGGGGACGCCTAAGGACTCCATAGTCATATTCGCAGCTTTTACTTTCAAGTTTTCTCCTTTAGGTAGTTTGATCTTTTATATTGTGAGCACGTTTTTTGTTTTAGTGTAAGGGATGTTAATCGAATTTTTGACTTCGCTTCTGCATTTGATATTTTTAATATACATTTCATTTTAAATTTCCGGGGTCGTTACATTATATTTATAGGATTTGATTATGTCTTGATTAAAAGTCAGATTATTTGTTAAAATTTTGTCTTTTTACTGCAAAAACAAAAGTAGAAGTCTATGTAAATAAATATGCATTTATATTTCTTTCTTTATTAATCATATTTTAGAGAGTTATAATTTGTGTTCCTATCTTTAGTAGTGTTACTAAAAATGGTCGTTAAATCTATAAATATTTTCTAAAAAGATTATGTTAACAAAATTTATTCTATAAATATAATTAGAACTAATAAACACCATTAACTTCTAACCCTTTATATTTACGCCATTGATTTGAAAAGAAAAGAAATTTCTTCCGTCATTATTATTAAACTAAATTGAAAAAATATATAACATACATGTTTTTTTTTTTTAAATAATTATAAAGATAGAAATTTAATTATAACTTATCCCTATTTGACTATTTCGGAAAATACTATATTTACTGAAGTATGAATTTAATCTACACTCTTTCAACGTCTTGCAATAGGGAATTGTCACTGTGTTTTTCTACTATAAATACAGATAATCCAACCTACATCAGCACGGGAAGTACGTACAAAACAAGAGTCTTCCCCGAGTAATTACAGTTCACCGTTTCTTTTTAGGATCCAGAGAACCTTTTTTTCGCAGCAAGAATCAACCTTTTTATCGACTCGGCCGAGTCCGACCGATCCTTGTCTCATTCCATTTTTTGAATGTAATGATTTCTTTTCGATGTATCTGTAAGTTGTTACTTCCTCGTATTTTTAATTTGTTTTTTCCGCTGATTTTGTTATTTTGTATGGTTTCCGTTTTCCTTTCTCTTGTTATGATTGTTTTACTTGAATAATTTTTAATTGCATGTTTATAAAGGTTTGATTTTTCTTCTCCTTTTTTTTTTTTTCTTTTGTTTTGCTCATTGAGCAGCAGCTAAATGGTTGTAAATTTTGTGCATTGTCGAGGAAGAGGTTTTTTTTTTGGGTGTATTGTTAGTAGTGTGGAGAACCCTAAAGCCCTATGGACTATTGAACCCTAAAACCCAGATGATAAAACCCTAGAAGGAGCTTTCGGGTGTCATCAGGGTTGTTTGGTTTGAATGTAAATGCTCCTGGGATGTCATCCAATTCAGAGTTTCAAGCGCTGCAAAATGGTGAAGAGACTGGCATGGGCAATGAGGATACCAATGCAATTAAGGTGGAGGCAGAAAAATTAGCAGATGATGTTGAAAGAAAGGAATCTTTTTCCGGTGCCAATGCAGTGGATGGCGTTGGAGAGAATCATGTTAATGTTGCTGGAATGGAGAAGAGTTGTTTGATGAACGAGGACCAAGAAAGTGCTCAGGAGGTGCAGTTGGATGAGAAGTTAGTGGGGCTGGACGACCATGGGAATGAGGAAATTGTAGTTGAGGATATTGTGAGGGATGAAGATGTGAGGGAAGAGGATGTTTTAGGATCAAATGGAGTTGATTCAGTTCAGAAGATAGAAGTTTCTGGGGATAATATATCCCTTTTTGTGGATCTTAGTGGATCTTTAGGTGGAGCTAACCAAGGCAATCTTGTTGAAGCTAAGGGTAGCGCGTCAGTAGTGTCTGGGGAGGAGACAAATGAAGCTAAGGATCAAGAAAGCAAGTTTTATGTGGGTGATATCGTGTGGATTAAAACAAAAAACCAGGCTTGGTGGCCAGGAAAGATTTGTGATCCTTCAAGCACAACAGGGCATGCAATTAAGACTGGACAGGATGACTGCTTGCTGGTTGCTTACATGGGCAGTGGCCATGTTGCTTGGTGCTCACTATCCCAGTTGAAGTCATTTCATAAGAACTTTGAGCAAATGTCAGGGAAAAGTAAGGCCAGAAGCTTTGTTCGAGCAGTGGAGAAAGCTTTGGATGAGTTTGCGAGATGTCTAAAATTGGAAATGACTTGTTCCTGTGAATCAAAAGAAAATAAGCAGTCAACTGGAAATGCTGAACCATTGGAAGTTGTTCCACGGCCAGAGAGGAAATCAGGTGAACTTGGAGAGTTTTCTGTCACCCACTTTGAGCCTGAGAAGTTCCTCTTGCAACTCAAACACCTTGCAGTTGTTGTCTCGGTGCCTGAAATGCTTGAGCTTACTGTCATCCAGAGTCGTATATCGGCTTTTTATCGTACCAAAGGGCATAGGCACTTGCCTATTAATCAACTCTTGGAACCAGCTGATGTTGAAGAGAATCCTATTGACAGCTTAGCGTCTAGAAGCAATATTGATGTTGAACCAGAGCACTATGGGAGTGATGCTACTGAAGTAGGAGTTATATCAAGCAAACTAGCATCCGGTTATAGGAAGAGAAAGAGGAAGACGAGTTCTGAAGTCAGAAATGAAGGTGATGAAATTGAAGGTCCTAACAGTGGTACCTTGGCATCTCCTGCAAAAAAGGAGGAATCTAACACCTTGGGATCTTTTACAATAATGAAGAGCAAGACTTCTGGTGTAGGAAATGGTGGTGATTGGAGTGAGGGAAAAAATGAAAAGAGCTCTGATTTTAGAGAACGGAAGAAGAGCAAGTATTTGTCTTATCCTTATGTAAGTTGGGGAAGCACAGACATGCCTAGTGAAACCGATAATGCTACTCAGAGAGCTTCTCATGAAGTATCAGGTTTAGATGCAGGTATGGATCAGTTTATTGGCTCCCCTTCCGCAGTTAAAGGTACTGTGAAACGTTTCCAGAAAAAATGGTTTCATAAGTTCATATGTGGCAATGATATATCCTCTAATCAAGAATTCATTAATACGTCTCCAGCTGAGTTGCTTTCTAAACTCCAATTTACGGCCGTAAATTGTCTTTGTTCTAATGAAATTGAAGATTTTGATTTAATAGAATGGTTCTTCTCCAAATTTAGAATCTCTGTATATCATGATGAATCAATTTATGAGAAGCATTGCAAGAAAGTCATTGGTCTAAAAGATGCTGCAGTGGCCGATTCCATCCCCTTGGAAAAAGATTCACATGACAAGTATCAATCTCCAGCCAGGAACCCTGAGAAGAAGGTGCGAAGGAGAAAGAAAAGTTTGAGCTTGGAGAGGTCAAAAATTAATTCTCTCTCTGGTATCTCAGATGATGTGAATGTAAAAATTGCGACAAACAACTTATCAGCAAAAGATTCCCAACTAACAGGCTCTCATGATCCTCAAGGGAAGGAAACTCTAGATAGTCAGGAGGTTAAACAAGCAGTCACTGTCATTCCTGATTTAAATAGTAATGGCACAACATCCATCTCTGCGGTAGAAGCTTCCCAGTTTATGGTCCATGTTAATGCTGAGACTAAGAAGAGAAAGAGGAAAGCTGTTTCAGGGCCTTCAAAATCCAGTATCCCTGATGTGAATGAAAATGATGCAAAGTCAAGCTCGTTCAGTTCAGAACCCAGTCCAATTAATGGGAAGTGGCTTGCTTTTGGCATTCCAGATGCCAATGGAAGCAATGGTGATCAAGGCCAGAAGAAGAGAAGACGGAGGAGGAAACAAACAGCAGAACCACCAAATACTGAGCCTGCTTCTGCTATACCAGATTTAAATGGGAGTACAACTGAAGCGATTGGGTTGGGAAATGAATTTACTGAGACAAACTCCTCTTCGCCTCAAGTTAAGCCTAAGCGGAAGAGGAGACGGAGAAAAGGAGAAAATGGAGGTGCTGTAATTAAAAGTTGTGACCTAGGTGTGAGTAGTAGAGGATCTCTAGAGACCACTCTTGTCCTAACATTTGCATCTGGAGCTTCCATGCCTTCAAAAGAAGTTATAGTTGGAACATTCTCCAGTTTTGGGCCTTTGAAGGAATCAGAGACGTGGTTGTTGGAAGATTCTGGTACTGCCCAGATTGCTTTCTTAAGGGATGTGGATGCTGGAGAAGCAATTCGGAGTCTAGAAAAGAACAATCCATTTGGTGAAACACTTGTCAATTATCAGTTGCGAAATCAGTTGCCAGTTCACAGAGCCTTAATACCTCATCCCATGGATGGACTTCGGATGCCCATAAAGCCTTCTGGTCCAAAATGTCACCCTGGTGAGGTGCCTCCCATTGATTTTATCAAGCAGAATCTGGAGGCAATGACATCGATGCTGGAAAAGTCAGGAGATAATCTTTCTCCTGAGATGAGAGTGAAACTGGAGAGTGAGATTAAAGGCCTCCTGGAAAAGATCAGCTCCATGCCCAGTTCATCCTCTTCATAACTGTAAGATTGAAAGCATCTCTATTTAGCATTTTTTTAAATTGATGTAATGAATAGTTTGGTACAACCAGTAGTTTCTGAACCTGAGTTCCTGTTTATTTTATTCCCCTTTATCAGATGTTGCTTTGGCAATCTGCTCTCTCTCTCTCTCTCTCTCTCTCAATATTTAATTTTTGTTATATGAAGAGAGCACAAGCGTTGGGAAGAATTTAAGGGAGCCATGCATCTCTGCTAATTGAGTTTTTTGTTTTGCTCTTGTGAAGTCCTGTCTTTGTTCTTGTACATGTACATGCATTTGCTTGGAAAATCTTGAAAAGGATTTTTTTTTTTCAGATATAGTGTAAGTTCAAACTTGCAATGTAATTGTAAGTAAAATTACTGTTTTAATTGTTAAAAGATTAGTATAATTGATTAAAAATTACCAACTGAAGCTTTATGGGTTTAAGGTTATTTGGTTCTCTGTTCCAACCACGGTGTGTATTTGGGGGGGTATGGGTTTTACCACGTGTAGATTTTCCCTTCCTGGGTAATAAGAAAGTCAAATAGTTTTTAAAATTCTAGGCTGTAGTTTGTGGGGTTGTATATATAGGTTCTTGTAAGGGGAGAGAGGATTATGAGCAACAGACTAAACCTAACTTGAGCTACTTACTACTCCATTTGGATTTATTTCTTAAAAAGAAGTGTCCTTATACCACTATGGGCACTTTCTGTTGAAAATTATTCTAAAAATAAATATTTTTCATTTGCAAACAATAAATTCATAATTTAATTGATGGAGTGTGAATATTTGCATAATTATAAGAAGTATTCTTATTAATTGATTAGTACAATATGAAGAAAATTAATTACAAATTTTACATTGCCTAAGTTATACTCACTTAACATGTAAATAAATTAGGAATTTGTAACAGTTCGGAGTTTAAAAGAAAATAAATTATAAATTGAATGCGAAAGCGAAATAATAAACATTTCTTACACAATAATTTAGAATACCCAAATGGGATATGAGAATAACTCTTTTAAAAGAACAACGAAAAATTAAAGAAATAAATAGAAAGTAAACAATTGAACATCCTATTCGCAACCCTTTTGTGGATTGAGATATGAATCTTGGTTCTCTTGATCTGAAATGATTAATAAAAGAGTGAATTATATTAATCCAGTAAAAATGTTACACTACTCACTGATATAGAAATGAAGGTTAGTAAAAATTATGTAAATAACTAATAAATCTCTTAATTTAAGTAAATTCATTTATCATAAATAAAATCATTTATTATATACTTACCGTAACGAAATTTTCAAAACTAACATATAGAGACAATAATACAAACAATATCATAATATCATATTTAATTAACCAGAATAACAACTTTTCTTTTCTATCTGCTTACTGATATCTATGGGGGTCCATAAGAATATCTCCACTACGCATGAACCCTTATTCAACATTGTCAACTGACCGGCCGTCTCCATACTCCATCCGGTATGAGCGCCAAAAATATCATCGCTTAATACTCCGTCCGATATAAAACATGCCGTCCCCATACCCCGTCCGGTATGGGCGCCAAAATATCAATTTTCGATACCCCGTCCGGTATGAGGCAAAGTTCACGGTAGAGTTCCCTATGTACCCGGTCCATCCACCATCTCTTAGAATATCCAGTAAGGCTACTATTTATTCATTCACTTAATCAAGTAATTCACGTTTACATTTAATTTTCAATTTAACTGTAAATTACGCAATACAAGCAATACATGCATCAAGAAAACACAACCGAATCATCTTACCAATTTCAGTATATCATCATGCTTTTAAAACTGTAAAATTAAACAATAAAGTAAAACAGGATAAACAATGATAAATAACTTGTTCAAGTAGTAACTTGTAATTAATTATCGAAGTTTTCTAAATTACATAAAATGTCGTATTATTTATACTTAAACTTCAATTTCATTATAGAGAATAAGGTGATGGATTCTTACTTGAATCAATGTCCGAATACTAAACTTTCAGCTGCACCTACTGGTGGTCTCTAGTTTCCCTGAATTTTTCTTCGGAGATTAAAATACACTTCAAGTACCTAGAAATATCCCAAAAAATTCAAAATCGGTGTTAAAACCCTTTTTCGGCCAATTTCAGAATTCTAGTATCGCCACTAGCAGCGGCGACTTACCTTGGACTGGCCGTTTTTTACCAGTTTTGGCCGATTTTATTGTCATCCCTGCGAGAAAACACGTTAAGCGATCTCGGTTGGCCAAAAAAACTCAAAAAATAGAAGCTTATTGACGACAGGGTTTTCTGGTGTAGCGGCTCCGCCGGCTCACCTTTGCGGTTAGACATTTTTCTTCAGTCAACTTGTGAAAAATAGAATGGTGAATACAATTATGAAAAAATCGTACGAGACGAGAATCAATAAGGATCTCATCGAATGCGATTTTTGATTTTTTTTGCCGCTCGGGCTTTACTCATGATTTTCGCCTCATCCACTGGTCGTTTTGCTCCGATTTGGCCATGGAGTGTTCAAAATCAACTTTCGAGCGAATAAATTTTTTTTACTGTTTTTAGCGATTGGAGGTGGCACCGGCACGGCGGCGGACAACTCCCTTCTCTGGCGACTGATTCTTATTCTCCGGCAAAGGGCTAGCAGCTAGAGTTAGGATTCGGTGTAAAGTGAGATATTTATACCCGTCTCTCTTTAAACTGGATCGTCCATCGCGTTTGATCTCGACCGTACGATCGCGTTTAAAGAGAAATGAATCTAAACTGTTCATGTGATTTGATATGTGTCGTACGATCGTG